TATATTTAAAGAAGTCAAGGAAAGTACGTGTAAATAGGACATGCGGTAACGATCAGGGCAATTCATGACCTCAAAAATAATCTCGAGGCCCTGAACCCATTCATCTACTATACGAGGATCTCCTTGTCCGGAAAACTTTTCTGGTTGGTAGTCGCGAAACTGTGCGACCACTGTGGCCTGGAAGCGTTCCTGGTGTTCTGGATCTCTACGAGGAGGCATCTGAACATTGAAATGTTTAACATGATTAAATAATATAAGAGATTAACTGACTAACTGCTTAAGTACACAAATCTCTTGACGATTTGCTAAACAACCCGAGAATACTAAAGTCGAACTATCAAATGACTGAGACAATCGACTAAGTTCTGTAAATACTCGAGCATCTTACTGGTTCCTAGGGTCAAAATATCTAATACCCTCTTACTGAGCATAGACTTAAGTATTCGTTTAAATATATAAACTGTAACTCAGCACTTACCTGATAGTCGGCGATGCGTGAGCGTAGCGTGGTCGGGTCTTTTCTGAAAAATTTCTGACTTTAAAAGTATTCAGATACACAAAAATGTACTCTGATACCAATTTGTAACACCCCGCTAGCTTACTAAAATCAGAGTGCGATTTTCGCAAATCCTTTTCTAAAGTTTACGTTTTAGTTTGTGAAACATATCTCGGGATGCTACACCAAATATTTCTTTTCTCAAAATCCGTTAACTTTATTAATTTTAAACCCATTTATGAAGAACATATTATCTTTTATAAAACAAGCGTGTGATACTGTATAAAACTTGACCCGAAATCTCGGATCATCGTCTGAAAATTTACACGCTAGTTTGGAAGTCTGAAAACGTCAGCGGAAGTAAAAAAGTGGCGAATATATACATATCAACAGTCTGCAAAAATATATACATATTTACATGTACTGGACCGGCGACCACCAGCTCCACTCACTCCTCCGGACCGACCCTTTCACCTGAAAAGATCATAATAGTGGGAGCGTGAGTACTAAAAACACTGTACTCCGCAGAAACTCATACTAAAGTAAACATTAATAACAATATCAATATCATGACTGCAGGTATATATAAATAAATTGTAATCTCCAGACGCGAGGTTTGTACTGAACTGGCTATGTGCACACTCTGATGGGCAATTAAGGCTACTGCGCCTCCACCAGAACTCTGGATGGGCAATTAAGGCTACTGCGCCTCCACCCAAAGTGGAATAACTCATATACATACCTTAAAACATAATAGAGCAATTATAATCAATGTAATACCAGTCTGAGTCCCCACCTGTACTGATAATGTAAGTGCTGCTGCTGATCACTCTGTGAAAATATATAAATAAACAAATACTAAGTACTATGCTCAGACTGACTGAAAATAGCTGTTAAGATGCTCGACTCGATCTAGATATTTAACTGGAATATTCTCGCGACTTAACTTGACTGACAAGAAACACGGAATTGTACTGATATTGGTGAACTAAACTGACTGGACTGAAAAAATTAACTGAAATACTGTACTGGACTCAAACCGGATCAGTAAATACTGAACAGCTCAAAAACTGGT